CACGGCGAATTTTGTGACCTTAATTACACTTTGATCTGTGAGCTCAAAGACATGTTACGGTTACCTGTAAAACAAAACAATATTTAACATTAAATTACGTGAATAAAACTTTACTCCAAAACCATCTTCTGGACATGGAACGAGGATTTGTAAATCTCCAAAATGCAAAGGGTGCACTCTTTGATTTTGAAATGTATCACAAAAGCTCGCTGAGAAGTTGATGCATTTCTGAACAAATACGTTACTGATCTTTATACAATTTGCATCTTCATCATCAAACTGTTTCTAAGATCTTGCATTATCATAAAGGAACAATTATTGAATCAAGGTATATGTACTCAGCTAATAACGCTCTTACGAAGGGTTTTTGAAAAGCTTAACTTGTAGGCTGGTTAGGGAGCTGATTCAGACGCCATTGTTATGACTTAAGAGTAATCATATTGTAGTCTTTCATATTGCTAACAATCCTGTAACCTAACTTTTGAACGTATGAAACGTAACAAAACTGAATACCACATTGTGGTAGACAAGATTCAAGACAAAATCTTAAAGATGCTTCTTGTGCGTACAAATTTCAAACTTTCTGACATCATAACAAATGCTTTTGACTAATGAAAATTTTCTATTAACAAAATTTAATCTGCTTATAATATTGTTGTCTCGTCTTGGAGGATATTGTATAAGTTTTTTTTTTTAACTTTAGGATATTGTATAAGTTGGTTAAGTTAATTATATATATGGTTAGGTCAGTTTGCAACTAACTATATAGCATAGTGAGCTTTTTTGACAAGACCAGATGACCTGTTCGTGATCTTGTGTAAAGACTTTTTGATGGAAATATAGAAGAAGAAGACAACATTTTTTTTTGTCGACAGAAGACAACATTTTTAAGATTAATTAGATATATCTATAGAAATAATATTGGTTCCAGACTTAGAAATAAAAGAAAATAATATGTTTCGCATAGTTCGACAAAAAAATTGCTATCCGATCATGATTGTATATTGAATCTTATAATGGGGCATTGAATAATATAGCAAATGCATATATATATATATAAACGTTTATATGCGTGACAATACATACGTTAACAAGTATAATTAAGTACATAGTGTATTATCGAACAAAATAGTGTGACAATAGTTATTTATTTAAAATATGCGTGAAATATCTTATACATATTGGAAAGAGAAATTGGCATATATAACCTAAAAAAAACTATAATACATAAACTAATTAAATTTCCCTTTTTTCTCTCTCTAATTTTTCCTGTCTCTCTAATGTTTTACTTATATTTTAATTATAGTTTTTTTTTTGTTATTGTTGCAAATGACTCTATTCAAAATACATTTGTAGTCCCGATAAAAAAAAAATCAAAACTATCATTTACCTAATTAATGAAGATAGTAGGTTAGTTAGTGCACATATCCATATTTTGATCCGCATCTTCTTTTTTTTTGAAAACTTTTTTGATCCGCGTCTTCTCTGCCAAATTAGTTATTTTGTTGTAGAAGTTCATATTTTGAATTCGGAATAGTAATGGCATCATTGTGTTCAGGTTTCAATAATAATATTTTGATTATGGAGACAGAAAGTAGGGATTATTACCGCATATTACTATAATGAAATCAATTCCGAATCTGTCTACATGAAATGGATTTTTTATACGCACACGAGATAAAATAGATTTCACGCAACTAAGAAAAATTCTCCATCTGTTTACCTGTAAAAGTTGTAGTTACATTCATGACTACCTAAACAAAATCTTCGAGCTAATTAATAAAAAAAGAGTCCTCACTCATCACATTCTGAAGTAGAAAGAGAAACCGTACAAAGGACACGTAAGTGTCTTGAGACTAGGAGTTTTATTTATTTAACCGTTAAAGTCACAAAACTAATTT